ACAACAGCAGCAGGCAGGCTGGGTGGGCACAGAGCTAAGCTCTGATTAAAGGGAAAACCTCAAGTGTTTTTCCTAAGGCATTGCATTTGGAGCATAAATGGCTAAAGGATATGAAAGCAATGGCAAGAACTGTCACTAAACGGACAAATTGTCCATGGACTTCCTCAGAATGAAAGGAACTGAGATATACATACCTATTTGTGGGCATAGAAATAGGATAACTGCTCTCCCAAGGACTCTCCCTCTAAGTTGACAACAGTCACTCGCCTAGTATGTCTTCACAATCCCTAGGAATTACTCATCTCCAAGCTTAGACATTGGAAATGTCCTTCCCTGTCCTAGCGTCCCCCTGCTACTAATCCTTTAACTCTACTGCACCTGCTCTTTGTCCTCAATATAACCTCTAGCTAGTCCTTCATCTGCTTTAATTCTAATTCATTCATTCACTTATTTTTTCACTCGACAAGCATTCATGGGCATCAATTCTATTTTACAACTGGGAACATTATGATAAATAAAATATGGATGATTTACACAAAATTTTAACAGTGACTGCTCCCATAGGATTAAGGAGATGGAGTTCATAAATTTCAACTCAATGACCTGAAAAATTAAAGAGACAATGATGTAAATGAGAAATTTAGGAAAGAGAATTAATGTGAGAGAAGAAAATGATTATGGTTTTGGATACCTAGAGTTTGAGGTAGCATAGACAACCAAAAAGGGGAGTTTATTGAGCAGTTAGAGATGATACACTACAGGCAGACCAAGGATAAAAATATAGATAAAAGAATAAGGGAATAAGACAAGAATAGCCATTAACAATGATATGCTTGTTAAGTGTCAGATAATTTAAACCCTTTGCATGCAATTTCTAACGTAATCTCACAACAATCCTATGTAAGAAGTAGGCAAGATTATTATTTCCATATTATGGATTTTAAAAACTGAGATTATTATTTCCATATTATGGATTTTAAAAACTACTTGAGTAGTTCAGTAACTTAACCAATGATCATACTAACCAATAAGTCCTGGATCTAGGATTTGAACTGGATTCAGGATTTGAACCCTATGTCTTCTTAATTCAAGATTATTGAAACTAATCTGCTTGAAAGGAGTAGTTAATAGCATGAAGAAGTGTGCATTATTGAACTCCAGCCAAGAAAAGATTGAACTATCTCCTACCCCAGATGTGTGTGGGGGGGAGAATGGGCTCCCCCTAGGATGGGCTTTGGTGAAAAACCAATGGAGATAAAATACATCAGTAACCTTTTGATAGGCAGGGATTTCTTTTTATTTGCTGCTGTCCCCTATACCTGGAGCAGTGCCTAGCCTTTAGCAGGTATTAAATGAGTATTTGTTGAATAAATAGAGATGCAATAAGGAAAGATAAAGTAGGAAAACTTGATTAATAGAATGCAAAGAAAGCT